CTAAAAAGGGCATAAGGTATGGGAGTGGAGACAGAAGTTTTCCAAAGCCCAGGGTTCCTGATTTGTCAAAGTACTGGGAATTGTCTTTCTCTGGTGGAGATGGTCAAAAAAATTGCAGTGTACTTCATGATACTTCATTTCCATGGTCTTAAGCGCCTTAGAATGCCTATTATGATTGAAGTAAGTCAATTCAGTTTTATTATCAAATATTCATGAGCCATGAGAAATGCAAATGGAATCCCTACCCTTCAGGAACTTAAAATTTGAAGGATCCAGAAGCAAATCATGTTGGCAATAGATCTGTGTGCAAATGTGAACAAAATGCTGTGGAAACACAGGACAGAGAATGAAAAGTTAGTAGAGTGGACAAGTCCACAACAAACAACAGCTAAGAATCTATAGCAAAAAGTAAAGAAAGATTTCTCAAAGGAGGTGATCATTAAGATAGACCTGTAATGGTAGTTAAAATATTTAAAGATAAAAAAATGAAAGCTCACAATATTCAGGTTTGCAAATTACCTGATTGTGACAATGAGGCAGAGCAATCACAGTTAAAATTTCAAAGCTGCATTTGTCCTACATACTACATCTTGTTTTATCGCAGGTAAATGGAGCATACATATCCCCCACATGCATTTACAACTCTGATGAACTTTAAAAGGCATCTTATGTGAGTCAAAAGACCAACTCATGTTTTCTTTTCGTGTGATCTCATATTTAATTCATTCTCCGGATCAATAGTTACGTGCCGAGAAACTGCTTTCCAGTAGTGTTGTGGAGTATGAAAAAGCAAAGAGAAATCAGTTTCTCTTTCCTGTCTCAGGAGACTCAGTGCCTTTTGTATTGCTCATGGCAATAGTAGTCTCAACTTTTTATCTGTATTCTTGAAACTCTAAACATTGCCAGTGGTGGGAGGAGGGACCGGGATGGGGAATACATGTAAATCCATGGCTAATTCATTTCAATGTATGACAAAAACCACTGCAATGTTGTAAAGTAATTAGCCATAAAAATAAATGGAAAAAAAAAATAAACATTGCCAGTAATAGGGCCATATTCTGAATGTTTTAAACCACTTTAGTTGTCATCATTACCACTGTTACTGATAAATTATTAAGCTCCTATTTGTGAAATTGCTGAAATGAGCATTATATGGAACAAGTTTGATATGAATTTTCTGGAGGTTTAATACTTAGAATTGTGCATGAAAATAAAGACTAAGTATGTGCAAGATTTTGAAAAGTGGAAGAAAAAACCCCACTATGTTGAGAGTCAAGAATGATAGCATCTAGTTCTGTGTTCCCACTTTTACTGAACTCTCAAGCTCTTTAGTTGTTAAAATCTTTTTTAAGTACATTCCAACTGATCCAGACCTTGTAAGAAAGAGTCTTCATGTTTTAAGTCAAGTTATTGACAGTGTCTTATTTTATCATTAAACATTTTCTTTTTCTATTCATCTGACAGGACCTATAAAAGGCAATATTTTTAATCATTTCAGTTTTGGCTGCTGTTTCTTTTGCTAATGACAAATACTTTCTAATTTTCTAATACTTTTCTAAATACTGGGGTATAGAAAAATTAAAACTGTTATTGTAGACTATTTAGAAAACAGAATGAGATCGCTGTACATTTGTACTTGTTATGTCATGTGGCCAGAACAGTATTCCAAGGAAAATTCATAGTCACAGGTATTTTCATATTAACTGAGAAAGATTAAAAATAAATAAGCCTATTAGCCAGTTCAAGAGTTATAAAAAGAACAAAAAAACCAGTATGATGGCGAGAGTAAAGAATAACTGTAAAACTGGATGAATCAGGAAGCAGAGGAATTAAAAATTAAATGCAAGATCTTTGATTAACCAACAAAAAGAGCAGGTAAATCTCTGGAAAGAACAGTGGAAAATGAGAAAAAATTAATATATAACTGGGAAATATAAAGGATATATAACAATGAATGGAGTATTTTATGAGATATGTATTGTATGCAGTCTATGAGAGGACTGGAAAATCTTAAGGAAATGAGTGCTTCTCTTGGATATTGTAAACAGCGAAAAGGGAAAGAAATATGAAACTTGCAATTAATGACATTATAAGAAAGTTTTAAAATTAAGAGCTCTTCCTCCAAAATATATATAGTCTAGATTCTTCAACTCTGAATATTTAATTTCTTCTGCATTTTCAAGTATTTGTAAATGTAGATAATGTTACAAAACGTTCTGTACCATTTTTCAAGGTGGTATGGTAAGGACTGGAAAAAGGAATCAGCACTTGAATAGGAACCTAAATGGTATTCTTCTATGAAAATGGATTTAAAAAGCTAAAGAAAACAAACACAGCAAATAAATCCAGAAGAAGGTTAGAAGTAATCAAACTAAGCTTATCTAAGGATTGGATCAACCTAAAGAAATTTTTTAATATAACATGCCAAGTGGTAAAAATTCTAGGACTGTATTAATAGATATTGAAAAGGCAGGTGATAAAATTTAATGTTAGTTATTGACAAAAGGAAATTTTCAGTAAGTTAGGAATAAAAGGTGCTTTTATCTTACGATATATCAAATTTAAAGTGACTCACTGGGGGATTCCCTGCCTGTCCAGTGGTTAAGACTCTGTGCTTTCATTGTCGAGGGCATGGGTTCAATCCCTGGTCAGGGAACTAAGATCCCACAAGCCACACTGCACAGCCAAAATAAATAAATAATTATATTAAAAAATGTAAAATGACTCACCAGATCCCGTGTGGAGCAGCATTCCCATTAGGGTGAGGAAGAAGACAAGGGCCCATGGGATTCCCACTGTAATGCTGCCCTGTTCTCACAGGGCCACTACAATGAGACCAAACAACTAATACCATCACAAGAGAACGCACAAGAAGATTCAAGGCTAAGGAACGTGTGTTTCAACTATTAAAATATATTCACACTGGTCTTCCATATGGGTGGTATTATAGGCATTTTGTACTTTTCTCTTCTTGCTTCTCTGTATATACTGTACATAACTTCTGTTGCCCTTTTCTCTGTTGATATTTAAAATACGGCAACAAACATTGAGAAATCATAATTCAAAAGAGAAGACAGCTTCTTCTCTTTTCAAATGAATGGCCTAAATACAGTTCACTGTTTTACTGTCTGCAGTCCTCGTAAGTAAAAGCAAAAGAGATACTTGATATTTTTATGAAGTCTTAAGGCTAAAGCAAGACTGAATCAGATTCCTATCTCTCCAGGGCTTTACTATATGCAAATAATCAGTTTTGTTACAATCTCTATCTATTCCCTGCCACCCTCCTCCCCGCAGGATGCCGCTATCTGGTCTAACATTTCCTAAGATAAGTTCATCTAGTCTGACTTTGTTTTCAGGGGTTAGTTATTCAGGCCCTTCCTTCTAGGAAATTTCCATTTCCCCTAATAGTGAAATTTCTGGAATGACTGGGTTAACTTTTGGCCATGTCTCTCTCTAGTACAACTTTTCCTGACTCTGTACCCTGGCAACCGAGGTGAAGGAGATGAAGAAAAGCTCCTTAAAGTGGAGTTAGCTAACAGCAGTAGGTCATCTACAATAAACTGTCACCCTAACCAGGAAGGGGAAATGAGAAATGTAGTTGTTGATATTTTCCTTGTTGTTTCTTTAAAAATCCAAATTTTCTATTTAACAGTGGGGTCATCCAGTCTGATTTTTCTATTCATGGTTTTTAAGCAACAAGGTAGAATTTGGGGACTGAACTCATGTAGAGGTGGTGTGGTAGAGAGAAAAGCCTGCTGGGGTCTTGATTGGCATCTGTAGAATGCCCACGAGGGGACGGTTCTTCTCCACTCCACTCACTTCTCCACTCAGAGCATCTCTGAGGTTTTGTTACAATGTCCGTTTTGACCAGTGATGACTCAAGATACAGTCCAGTTCAGCATGGTGGAGATAGGGTTCAGCTGTAAGTCATCCAGGCTGGTAAAGCAACACCCATTCCACTTCTGTTGCCACCAATGCCTTAAACACTGGATTCTTGGTTTTCTCATATGTAAGATGATTATAATGCAGCAATGTGGGGCGCTGTTTTGAGGATTAGAGAAATAATCCAGTGAAGCTAGTTCATGGTGAAAGTGAAAGTTGCTCAGTTGTGTCTGACTCTTTGCGACCCCATGGACTATATAGTCCATGGAATTCTCTAGGCCAGAATACTGGAGTGGGTAGCCTTTCCCTTCTCCAGGGGATCTTCCCAACCCAGGGATCGAACCCAGGTCCCACGCATTGCAGGTGGATTCTTTATCAGCTGAGCCACCAGGAAAGCCCAAGAATACTGGAGTGGGTAGCTTATCCCTTCTCCAGGGGATCTTCCTGACCCAGGAATCAAACCAGGGTCTCCTGCATTACAGGTGGATTCTTTAGCAACTGAGCTATCAGGGAAGCCCCAGTTCATGGTAGGTAGTTCCTACCTACTGTTGTATAACTGCACTGACCATTGTAGTCACTAGCCACATATTTTTACATTAAATTAATAAAAATTCAGTTTTTCAGATGCAGTAGCCGCATTTCAGGTGCTCAACAGCCACCTATACCTAGTGGCTAGTATATTGTATGTGCTGTATACATACTATATATTGCAGATATAGAAAGAACATTTCCATCATCACAGAATGTTCCATTGGGTAGCACTGCTCTACATCATTAACTTTGATTTTACACAACTACCAGACCTTAGGGCTGACCAAAAGCATTCTCTTTGATTTGGAAGCTCTCCTGAATGTTTACCTGTGGAGGTGAGAGTCAGATGAAGCCAGTCTTGGAAGGGTGTCCTTTGTTCACCAGAGATAGAAAGGAGTGATGTTTGTTTCCTAAATTAAGATAGCCTATCTATAAGCCAGATATTTCAGCCCTGAAAAGGCAGAGAGTTCACATTGTAAACCTCCAGAAAGGACTGATTCTTTCCACTGTGCATTTAACCAGACAACAGAAGGAAGGGCCGGGGAGGATTCCAACTTCTGAGTCAGCAGAGAAAACATTCTTTGGAGGTAGAGTTTGGAAAGGACAACTAATCTGTTTTCCAAACAGATTTTCATAAATAACTGACAGGAGATGGGCTGCTTCTATCAAAGTATTAACCCAAGTGATGGGGGTTAATCATTAAACCTTTTAGGTGGTGGCTTGCTTCTTTGTCTCATATTCTAATCCGGGTCACAGAATGGCTAAGGCAGCTTTAAGTGAAGGGTGAATTTTTTTTCCTTCCGTTTGCCTTGTGTTTTCCACTCTGAAAGAATGTTGTGGCTGCTCTTTTTTCTAGTAACTGCTATTCATGCCGATCTCTGTCAACCAGGTACGTAAGCCTTGAAACTTCAAAATAGATTAACAGTTTTCTGAACGATTGACAAGTCTGACTGAAAGACTTCTTTATTTTTCTAAATCTGCCGCTGTGTTGTGGCTTGAAACTTGAGCCTGTGAATGTTTTATGAGTTTGAAAGAAAAGTTTCAACCATGTAAGATGATTGCAGTTAAACTTTCAGAAGTATTGGGGACAGTTTAATTGCAATCTTTGTTCTATTCATTTTTTTTTTTAAAGTGAAAGTGAAAGTTGCTCAGTCGTGTCCGACTCTTTGCGACCCCATGGCCTGTGCAGTCCGTGGAATTCTCCAGGCCAGAATACTGGAGTGGGTAGCCTTTCCCTTCTCCAGAGGATCTTCTTGACCCAGGAATCGGACCGGGGTCTATTGATTTCAGTTTCATTAAATATTAGGATTTATCAGGCTCCATTTTGACAGATTTTATCATCATGTACTGCTCTTTTTTCTCTCTGGCAGATGCAGAAAATGCTTTTAAAGTGAGACTTAGTATCAGAACAGCCCTGGGAGATAAAGCAGTAAGTGCAGATCCTGCATGTTCCCTTAAAATTTTGTTTGCTAATAACACTGCTTTCTCAGATAATGAGCCTCTATGCATAGTTATCTTAAACTTGCACAAACTACTTCTAAAGACGTCAAATCTGATATTTTCTTAAAACAAAAATATTTGTAGTAAAATAGAAATTGTTAATAAAGTGATTTTGCCTGACTTATTTAATCTGCAGTGTATCCTGGAAAATATGCGAAGTTCTGTACTACCCAAAACAGGCCTGGTTTGGGCTCTGTTCCTCACTGTGGTGGTCATTTGAATTTTGTCAGTCACTTTTCTCATCATTGAAAAGAGGTCATGTTTCACCTATGTAAGATCTTTCATGGCACAAAATATTCCACTTCTATGGTCACTTGTCTTCAATTCTCAAATATCAAGAAAGCAGCATGAAATGTATGTTCATGAAATTAAACTTAATAAAACAGTCATGGGGCTCCGGTAGCTATAGGAACAGTAAAGACTCGAATTAATGACATGGAGTTGTGTCATTCTAGTTTCAGTTTGCCTGTGTGGTCTGTGAAAATTTTCCCCAATAGAAGGTGAGAGTAAGATGCCTCAGGCTAGAGATGATAAAAAAAATGCTGAAGAAACTTGGACATATTCGGTTTGTAAGGCAATCCACCATTTTGTTCACTCAGTGAGTAATAATCATTCTAACACCAGCATTCCTTGAGAACTTAGCGTTCTTTCTGCCTGGGACCCTTCTAATCACTTTGCCCACATTAGCTCTTTTGGCTCTCACAACAACCTTTTGAGGAAGATGACATGGGTATTCCCATTCTCACTAGGTGGATGAGAAAACAGAGGTGCAAAGACATTAAGTGACCTACTCATGATCTCAAGTCAGCAGGGGGCAGTGGTCAGGTTTGAGGGCAGAATCCACCATCTCTGCCAGTGCGTAGGGTTGCTTTTCCCAGAATCCTCTGAGCGCAGGCACCATGCTGGATGCTCGGATGTGGTACAGCTAAAACTAGACTTATCCTTGCCCTTGGGGAGCTTATAGTCATGGGATTGGTTGCATATTCAATAAACCAAATGCAAGTGTGCGATCTCGACAAGCATCTCAGGAAAGAGAAGTCCACAGGGACTCTGGCCTCATTAGAGGCCACAGGACCTGGCATTTGCTGTGAGGTCTAAAACACTAGTAGAAGTGAACCTGGGGAATACGAGGAAAGAGGGTGAAGGGACTAGCACATGCAAAGGCTTATTACAGGGGAGGAACTTGGGAGGAGTGAAGGGTGGAGGGATGGCCAAGGTGTTTGGAGCTGGAGCAGTGAAGCGGAGCTTCAAGAGAAAGGAGGGGTCAGGCCAAAGAATGTATGGATTGTGTTGAGGAGTTTTGGTATTAATTTCTAAAGCAAGTGGGGGTTTCGTGGAAGGGGTGTCATGATAGAATGTGTGTTTGCAAGACACTTTGGCCACAGAGCAGAGGACAGACTCAAAGAGACTAGAGTGGACAGAAGGAACCAGTTGGTAGGCGGTGGGAGCAGTACGGGTGAGAGAAGATGGTCATTTGGAGTCTGGTGTGTTGATGGAGAGAGGGGCAGTGAAAGGTTTTGAGAGCCATGGGATGGGATGACAACGGAGGGAAGAGGAAAGGTCAAGGATAAGCAAGTAGATGGATGATAGCCCATTTATGACTCAGGGAACTGAGAATAGATAAGAAAACCATAGCTTTTGGACTTACTGAGTTTGAAGCATTATTGAGCTGGCTTGAGATATCCATTCCCGCGTCACTTGCATTGAAGTGATGATGACAGTGCTGATGAAGGTGGAGGATGGCCAGAGGAGAGGGGCTGGCCTTGAACTTCGTGATTCTTAAAGCCCTTGCAGAGGAGGGGGAACTTGCAAAGGAGGTGGAGGGACAGCAGGAAAACCAGGAGGATGCTATGTCAGGAAAGGGAAGAGCGTGCTTTCAGATGAAGGGAGTGTTCAAGAGTGTTGAGTGCTGTTGAGGGGCCAGGCGAGGGGAGACTGAAAACTGCTCATTGTGTTAAGCAACATGAAGGTCATTGGTAACGTGAGAGAGCTGCTTTTTGGAGTGCAGGGACTGGAAGGCAGGTGGAGGAGGTTCAGAATACACAGTCAGTGACCAGGTGCAGACAGAAGGATGGACAACTCCTTCCAGAATTTTGGTTGTGAAGGGCAGGAAAGAAACGACAATGGGTAGAAGAAGGAGGACTGAATAAAGCGATTTGGTTTTGTTATTTTAATGCGAAAGACTTAAGCATAGTTTGGAGTCAATGAATAGCCTCCAGTCAGCATTGAATGCACAGAGGGAAACTGATATAGTTTAGATCCAGAGAAGGGCCAAATGGAAGCATTCCTAAAGAGGTGGATAGAAGGGCCATTGACCAGAGGAGAAACACCACATGTGGCCCTTGGGGGAGGATGTGGATAAGACATGTGCCTGTGGAAGAAGTTTTGTACTTGGTGTCAGGAGGGCAGGAGGTGGGACATGTGTCAGTGGATGACCTGAGATGTATCTATTACTTAAGAAACAAGAGTGCCTAGTGAAAGTGAGGAATGAGGGAAAGCACAGAGATGTGGGGGTACGGTGGGGGCTGAAGGAGATTTGAAACAGTCATTGTGAACCATGAGGGAAAGAAAACTGAGGGAGACCCCTAAGGGGATGCCAGGCAGTTTGGAAGTAGGTCACCATGAATTGAGTTAAGCCACACTGTTTTGTGATTACACACCTAAAATGTGAGGTCAGCTAGATTACACACCTAAAATGTGGGGTCAGCCACCTTAGTTTGCTAGGGCTGCTATAATAGTACCACAGACTCGGTGGCTTAAATGATGGAAATTTGTTTTCCTCTCATTCTGGAGGCTGGAAGTCCAAGATCAAGGTGTCAGAAGGGTTGATTCCTTTTGAGTTCTGTGAGGGAGGGATGTGTTCAAGACCCATCTCCTTGGCTTTTAGATGGCTGTGTTCACCTGTTTTCCCTCTGGGTCAGTGTCCAGATTTCCTGTTCTTACAATGACACCCAGCATATTGGATTAGGACCCACCCAAATGATCTGATTTTAACCTAATCACCTGGGTAAAGACACTGTCTTCCATATATGGTTACATTTTGAGGTACTTGGGGTTAGGATTTTAACATACAAATTTCTTTGTGGGAGAATACAATTCAGCCCATCACATGCACATACACTCAAGTTTTCAGCTAAGAAAATGAAAACTTGTACTGGTATTAATACAGGAAAGGAAGCTGAGGTGGGAGTCAGTTTATGAGGGAAGACAGAAAGGATGAAAAGGAATCAAGTGTTTACATACAGGATGAGATGTCCAAATGCCCTGTTTGTTGACTGGTTACTAATAATGCAGATTTTGAAGAAGAGTATGCAGTGGGAAACCCACCACACTTGCAGTAATAGAATAACCAGGAGATTCTATCCTAAACATTATGGTGACATGATTTATCATGGTCCCCAGTCTTTTTTTTGCATAAGATGAAAGAGAGAGACACAGACAGACACACACACCCCAACACCACTGTGGCCACAGTTAGAACCCAGCGGACCAGTTTTTATTCCATGCCTCTCTAAGTTTCATTCTCTGTGTTACTTCTATTTCAGTATGCCTGGGATACAAATGAAGAGTATCTCTTCAAAGCAATGGTGGCTTTCTCCATGAGAAAAGTTCCCAACAGAGAAACAACTGAGTAAGTAAACAATGAAAAGTCTTAATTGATTGTTTGCAATATTATTTGAGATAGAATATTAACTCCAAACTCAATCTTGAAAATAATTTATTAAATATAATTTTTAAGAGACCCACATTTTAATTTAACATTAAAAAAACCTTTATAATCTAGGTCAGCTTATAGTTTATATCATGTTTAAATAATGCTCTTCATTCAATAGGCACTATGGAGATAAATATAAAAATTTGTAGTTATAGGTCATAAGCTTTCTACATTTCTATTTTATGTATAGTTCTCTTGTTGATACGATAGATGGAAAGAAAAGAGTTCTATTCTCATTGTATTGGTCTGCTCTGGCTGCCATCACAAAATACCGTAGACTGGGTGACATAAACAACAGATTTATTTCTCACTGTTCTGGAGGCTGAGAGTTGAAGACTAAGATGCTGACAAGGTAGGTTTCAATCTGAGGCCTCTCCTTTCAGCTTGCAGGTCCACCCAATCTTTGTATGCTCACATGGTCTCTTCTTGGTTGAAGGAGAACTGGCAGGGGAGAGAATGAGCATTCTGGAGTCTCTTTGGATGAGGGTGCTAATCCTTTCTATCTTAAATGACATCTCATTTAACTCTAATTATCTCCTTATAGGCCCTGTCACCAAATGCGTTCACATTTAGGGTTAGAACTTCAACATATGAATTAGGGGAGGAGGATAAATCCATAGCACTTATTTGAAAATAATTTACATATGTATAGGTTCATCGTACTGTTGGTATCTGTCATAGCACCTTGTTTATTTTCTTGAAAGTTTTAGTACAATTTTAATAGTTTTACATTTTTGTCTATTCTTCTGGAGGAATCTTCCCTATTTGTGATGTTTCTTTTCATCTCTATTTGTGATTAGGGTAACACTCCTGGTTTCTCTCTACCCTCTTCCTTCACTATTCCCCTTGAGAGGTGAAATGACTGGACTGATCTGATTGATGGGCTGAAAGGGGAAGCCCGTGTGCTCTCAGCACACATTTTTCGTGCTGCTCCTCACACTAAATACAGAATCAGGCCCTGCCTGGGCAGGCTCGCACACCCTCATGGCTGTTTGTGCTGTCTACAGCTATGGACTGTTTAGATTGGTAGGTACCAGATCCTAAGGTGTTAAATATCTTGCCTCTTACTCCAGTATGTGGTGATAGCTGCTTTAGTTCAGCTCTCCCTGGGTCATTAGAGATGAATTTATCTCATTTCAGAATTTTTTTTACAGTTCGAAAGGAAATTTACCTGCTGATGAAAGTCAATTAAGTCTTTTATTTTGGTCTCCTGTTTGCTTCATTCTTTTGTCTTCTGTTAAGAACCTAGCAAAGAGGGTTTCTATTTATTGGTCTTACTCAAAGCCACAATGTATTATGCATGAGCTGTGAATATAAGGAATAAAACAGAAGAGTAACATTTGGAGGAAGAAAATAAACATACAATATGTGGATTTGTGTGTTCACACTCACGTATTTTAAAATACATAACATATTCACATAATTCAGAAAATTAAAAGAAGGGGATGTAAGGTAAAAAAAAAAATGCCTAAGTGAACTCTACTCCTATTTTATAGATTTTTAGAAAAGATATATTTACTTTTATCTTACACCTTTAAACTGAAGCATTCTTTCTGAAATGATATTAATATCCTTTTTAAAATAAAAAAAGTAGAAGATTGCCTTCTAAAAAATCAAAAAGGAAAAATATAAGGAGAAAAGGGAACCTTAGTACTCTGTTGGTAGGGATATAAATTGGTGCAGCTACTATGGAAAACAGTATGGAGTTTCCTCAAAAAACTAAAAATATGTGTAAGGGCGTAAATATATGTATTATGTTTGTAAAAATTCATTCTGTACAATTGCAGACCAAGGTTGCTCTTCTGTAATTTATGGGATATTATGTTTTAAAGACCATCTTGGAATACAGTTAGAGAACTTAGTATTTTGATGTACTAAGACCTATTTTAAGTTTAATATTTTACCTCTGCAAAAACTTTAAAGATGCTATTTTCAAAAAGTTTAAAAAAAAAAACCCTAAAAATAGAATTACCGTATGACCCAGCAGACCATTCCTGGTTATACATCAGAAGAAAGAAACATACTAATCTCAAAAGATACACACATCCCAATGTTCATAGCAATGTTATTTACATTAGCCAAGCTACAGAAACAACCTAAGTGCCCATGAGCAAATGAACAGATATAGAAGATGTGTACACACACACACACACACAAATGGAATACTACTCTACCAGAAAAAAGACTGAAATTTTACCATTTGCAACAATATGGATGTACTTGGGAGGGTATTATGTTTAGTGAAATTAAGTCAGACACATACTGTGTGTTATCACTTCTATGTGGAATCTGAAAAATAAAGCAGACTTGTGAATATAACAAAAAGAAACAGACTCAGATACAGAGAACAACCTAGTGACTGCCAAAGGGGAGAGGGAAGGGGGAAGGACAAGACAGCGGCATGGGATTAAGAGGTAGAGTTTGCTGTATATAAAATAAATAAGCTACAAGGATATATTGTGTAGCACAGAAAATATAGCCAATATTTTATAACTATAAATGGAGTATAGCCTTTAAAATTGTGAATCAATATGTTGTACCCCTGAAATTTATATAATATTGTACATAAACTATACCTCAATTAAAAAAAATGAAAAACATAAGAAAAAAAGCCATTGGTCATCTCACAATGCTAAAACCCCTCAACTAGTCTCTTTTAATCTTACTGTTATTCTTGCTTAGCAGAATTTATACATACTGTTTTTTATTATACTCTTACTTCCTCTGAGTGCAAAATTTCATCTTGTGACTATGTTAAATCATGCTTTCATTCTTAGGAAAAGTTAATTTAAATTCATAATATTTTAGATTAATTTTGAGAAATTCACTTTTGACATTTTTTATTTTCTCAAGCCTGAGCCTTGTAGGAGTCTATGAATATATGATCTGGTTTATTTGCTGAGATGTTTTAACTGGGTACATAGGCTATATATAGTAGCTTTTGTTGCCGATGTCAGTGGAAAAAATTGAAAAGTGCAAAACTAGATTGGGGTTCAACAAATTTTTTCCGGTAAATGCTCAGTTTGAGTCTCTGCAGTACTGCTGTCAGAAGGCTGAGTGATGAGGGCTGCCTAATGAATCAGGATGTGTTTAAGATGCAGTGCAGGTGCTGGGCCCAATTCTGCATGTGCTGCCCTAAAGGTGGCTGCATATTTACATGAGCAAGTGGCCCTCTGGGAAAGGGGACCACACGACACAAGATGGATTGGAAACGACTTCCCAGTCAGAATGCCTCTCCCAGGTGTGACAGGTAACAGAAAAACACCAGCAGCTTGGCAAAAGGATCAGATTTTAAATCTGCCTTTCAGAGGTCTTTTTGTGCTAGGGTCAGGCAGATTGAATTCTAGAGGGTGGGACATATCCCTTTGAGGATGGCTTCAGGATGCAAATCGTGAACATTTGCCAGTTTTTAAATTTTTTTTTCTGCCACATCATTGCTTATTCTATGGATATTGTAGAAAACTTATAGATACTGAGGTGCACTGGATGGAAAATGTAAAGAACAACTCACTAATGAGGGCTACCCTGGTGGCTCAGTGGTAAAGAACCTGCCTGCCTCCAGGAGACCCAGGAGACACAGGTTTGATACCTGGGTCAGGAAGATCCGCTGGAGGAGAGCATGGCAACACACTCCAGTATTCTGCCTATAGAATCCCATGAACAGAGGAGCCTGGAGGGCTATAGTCCATGGGGTCACAAAGAGTCAGACATGACTTAGCAACTCCACAACAACTCACTAAAGATAGCAATGAACAGAGTAATGAAGACTCTCAATTTCATCCCAGCTTTTACCCAGTCCTAACTACAGTATCTCTTCTATCAAGCATGATCACCTCCATGACACAGGGCTAGTGTCTCTTCTGCATATTTGGGAACCTATGAGCGGCCTACCCTTGACCCAGTAGAACCAGGATGGACTCTGCAGGACGCTGTTCCTTCTAGAGTGAGGTCCTGGCCGCCTCCATGCAGGACTTACGTCCAGGCACCATGACCCCACGCAGGCAGTGGAAGAGAAGGTCAGGGGTCCCAGAAACAGAGGTGTGGGCCTGCAGAGAGGGGGCGGGGTGTCCCCACCACCCTCCCCGGAGGACGGGTGGGATGGGTGGCAGCGGTCTGCACACGCAGCCCACAGGGAGCTGACAGCTGGGTCCGTGTGAGGAGCTGGTGCCCCGGCCACAGCAGTGCCAACCTTGCCTGCTCGCCTGCCCACCTCAGGTCACGCAGAGCCACCAGTAGAGAGAGGAGTCGTCTGTGAGAGGAGAGATGGGCACGTCGCTCCCCAACTCGCACACGATCCAAGGAGTAGCATGAGAGTGGCAGCACCTGGAACTCTGGTGACAGTGTACCCAGGCACCGAGACCGTCCTGTGGGTGGGATAGAGACTGGTGCCTGCCCCTCAGCTGGAGAAGGCTGAAGGTGAAGGCCAGCTCGAGCCTGCATGAGAGAGAGGGGGGCGGCTTTGCCAGCAGTCTGCGCCCGGATGGCTGCTGGGGCCAAGTGGAGGCCACTGAAGGGAGCTGGGCGGGCCTGTGGGGCCCAAGATCCACGTGCAGGGCCCAGGGAAGGCGGAGAGTGGGCAGGCAGGGCGAGATGGAAGCCATCGTCTGTGCCAGGGAAAGGGCCAGTGCAGAGGTCGCCACACCTTCTCCGAAGGCCCCAAGAGCACTCTGGATGGACAGGAGGGCGTGCCGTGATGAGGCCAGCATCAGGCAGGGGGCGCACGGGGAGCCCACCTGGGGAACCAAAGCTGGCCTTTTGCTCTCCTGCAGATCCCCGCCCCCTCCCCTGTCCCTTTTCCATCCCTCAGTGAGCAGGAATGGGGGAGGTCAGGGGCTATGGGCAGGAGGAGTGGAGCCTGGAGAGCAGAATGCATCCTGCACAGGCCAGCCCAGTGGGGGAGGGAAGCTGGGTGTTAG